CATGTGCCACCACACCCCGCTGGAAAGAACTTTCTAAATCAGCATTACTTGCTCAGGAATTAAGAAAAACAAGTGGGACCTCATTAAACTAAAAAGTTTCTGTACAGCAAAAGAAACAACTAAGCAAGTGAACAGAAAATCTACAGAATGAGAGAAAATCTTCATCAGTGACACATCAGACAGTGTTAACATTCAGAATTACAAAGAACTCAAAAAACAAAAAAATCAAGAAAACAAATGACCCCATTAAAGATGGGCTATGCATCTGAACAGAGACTTCCCAAAAAGAAGTAAAGATAGTTAAGAAACACCTTAAAAAGTATTCAACATCCTTAGTAATTAGGGAAATGCAAATTAAAACCGCTCAAAGATTTCATCAAATACCAGTTAGACTTGCTAAGATCAAAAGAACAAATGATACCAAATGCTGAAGAGGCTGTGGAAAAGGGGGAATGCTCATTCACTGCTGGTGGGATTGCAAACTCGTGCAAACCCTTTTGGAAAGCAGTATGGAGAACTCTTAAAAAACTGAAAATGAACCTACCATATGACCCCGTTATACCATTCCTTGGCATATACCTAAAGGACTCATCCCCTACTGCAGAGATACTTGTACATCCATGTTTGTCACTGCTATTTTCACAATAACTAAAAAATGGAAGTAACCTGTGTCTCTCAACTGACATGTGCATAATGAAAATGTGGTACATCTACACAATGGAGTTCAACTCAGTGGTAAAGACCACTGACTCGCAGATAAATGAATGGAACTGGACACACAGACTAAGTGAAGTAACACAGACTCAGAAAAAAAAAGACGCATGTTCTTCCTTATTTGTGTATCGCAGTCCCAAATCCTTACATGTGAGTATATATCTTGATGTAAATGCAGGAGCCAGGAAAATGGAAAGGAATGAGGGAGGTAAAGGGAAAGGAGCCTAAGCGAGAAGAACAGGAGACTGGTGTTACCAAGGGGAAAAAGGGTAAAATAAGGGTATTTAAGTGGTAGGGGGAGAGGGAGGGCAATACATGGACCTATGGGGGTAAAGGGGAAGAAGAAGCTCAAAAGAGGGGGCACCACAGAGCACAGGTATTATCAAGTGTGAAATGGAGAAAATGGGGGTACTTTAACTGCGGACGGAGGAGAGAAGAGTTAGACAGAGAGAGGCAAGAGATAAATAATGCTTAGTGTGAAAATCCAGAGGGAAACATATTAGTTCAAAATCTACTGAAAAATTGCACATACACTATCTCTACATGAGTCCATGTATATAGCTGAAGACTACTTAACAAGAAACAGTGCCAGATAGGAGAAACCTTCCTTTGAGTTGTTGGCCAGGGTAGTCCAAGAAACTCCCAAAATTACACAGGCTATTGTCACAACCCTTGACTGCCTCCCAGAACCTGAAGGTAAGATTCTACTGTTGAAAACAGGTCATACTTCAGACACAGAATTTGGAGCAATGAAGCTGGAACTGACCTAGAAGCCACCTCCCTGAAGGCTAGCTCTTATAGTTTTGGAGAACACTATGCAAACTGCTAAGGGAGAACATCAATCGATGGTCCAACCCCAGCTTTAAGTCCTAATAACCACAACAATGACTGGCACAGCAAACTATATTGGGGCAGTAGTGCCACTTTTATTTTGGGGGTAATCAACAGCTACCTCATTGGACTTAAAGCCCACTCAATGGGCAGAAACTCATGTGTGGTACTGTAAACATATCCAAATACACATGGCTGGAGAGGTCATAGATCTCACAGAAAACCCCAAGGCTGTTACATCCCTAGACAAATGTCATTTCTTACTATGTGCTAAATATGGATCCTGAAATTTATAGACAAGTATGCCAATCAGCATTCATCAAAGAAACTTCTTTTGCAATAGACAGAGTTTACAGAGTTCCACAACTGGTCACACAGAGAGATTGTCTGTGAATTGCCCAACACTAAGTGACACATCTACAGTGGAACCTGTACACTTAAGGCTCACTGAACATAGTGAACAAGGGGTAGAGAGAATAATGCATCTCTCACCTGTCATCAACAAAGCTCCCTCAAGCAACAGAGGGTCATGAACACGAAAGGATGCAAATGGCCACAGTGTACAGAAAAAGAGTTTGCAGAATGCGTGTCCTTGGACAGGACTCCTATATTAAACTGCACCCACCCAGGGCTCAGTAACCATTGTGGAAGAGGGGGCAGAAAGATTGTAAGAGCCAGGGGAGGAGGTGTATGACCATATGGAAATAGAGTCTTACAGGCTCCTGGGACCTTGCTCATCATCAGCAGTGATGCCAGCATGGACAAGACCAAATCAAACTCAAGCAGACAAAATCCCAGCACAGAACTGTGGAAATAGGCAGCAAGTCCCAATCTTAGCTGAGGAACTTTTAGCAGCTGAATACTGCTGGGTGAGGAAGAGCTAATCTTCTTAAAAGCAGGGTGGGGGGGATTCTAGACAGGCTGACTGGGCTCAGTGGATGAACTTAAACTGCGGGATGACTGGGGACACCAACTTGACTCAATAGGTTTTAACATAAATGACAGAATGCATGAACTCCAGTGGGGGGTATGGGAGGTGCCAAAGGGAAAGGCTATAAAGATGATTAAGATGTTCTGTATGAAATACACAAAAATTCAATACAAATGTACAAAACAACTGTACAAAACAACAACAACATTTTATACATTAAAAATGTTACTCATGGCCAGGCGTGGTGGCGCACACCGTTAATCCCATCACTCGGGAGGCAGAGGCAGGCAGATGTCTATGAGTTCAAGGCCAGCCTGGTCTACACAGTGAATTCCAGGACCGCTGGAGCTACAGGGAGACCCTGTCTCAAAAAGACCAAAAAAAAAAAAGTTACTCATTAAAATGAAAGAAAACTCTGTCGCCGTGCCACGGGCAGGCCTGGAGCGCACTGCGCAGCGGCAGTTGTTGCAGTGCAGCTGCTTCCTTGGGTTCTGTTTACTAGTTAACAGGTCACGTGGCTCCTTACGACTTAATAGACTTCTCTGGGCTTTGCTGATCTAGAGGCCTGAGGAGGGGCAATCTGCTCCCAGAAAGCTGTCCTTGAAATGCCAGGGCAGGTGTTGCCCTCCCTCTTCTGTTTCCACATACGTCGAAGGAGGTTGTTCCGGGGCAATCTCCACCGCCCTGGGTGCACTGTGCTTGCTTTCTCATCATTATGATGTGAAAATTCCTACATCTTTTGCACTGCTTGAGCACTGCAAAGTAAATTCTGTGTGCACTTCAAATGCTGAGCTCCCAATAAAAGCTCTCAGAGGGCTGTGAACATGCTCTTGGGCAGACAAATGTCAAGGGTCTCCTGGTTTAATTTTAATATTTCAGAGTTGGTCAAGTAGGGGGCTACACAGTACCTGGGGGGGGGCTACACAGTACCTGGG